GTGTAGTCGGCAACGAGCTGGCGGATGAACAGGCAAAACAAGCGGCTTCGGGTATCTTCCTGCCAGAACATGCTCTACCTCTGCCTTCCTCTTATCTCAAAAAGATTACACGCGGCGACCTTTACGCAGAATGGCAGCAGAGATGGGATACTTCCCGGACAGGTCGAAGGACGTATAAATTTATCCCAAAAGTTACAGACCTTGTCTTCTCCAACTCATCTTCATTGACTACGTTCCTCTCTGGGCACGGCCCGTTTCCTGATTACCTACACAGATTTGGACTTAGAGACTATGATCTCTGTGAATGTGGACTAATCGGAACGCCAGACCATTATGCATTTACATGCAGATTGACAGAGGCGCACCACATGCGTCCTCCTTCAGATAGATATTGGAGGGAATGGACAAAAGTGCTACTAGAACGGAGGGGTGCGTGCTTTAAGCTTCACAAGATCATCAAGTTCTGCAGGGTACACTTTTCATTTGTCACCTAATACCTCCCAGCGCATAACCCTGCTACCAGATAAGTAATATCTGTTTGCTACTGTTATGTCCATATTATTTTCATCATACTCTTATCCTATTCGTTAGATGCATTTAACGTATTACCTTAAATACTACACTTTATGTGACTTTTACTTGACTGTAATAATCATCCTCGATGTGTTTATAGTATTAACTTAATTATTATAATTGATATCATATGCTTTCATTTTAATCTGAATTTTGTAACTACAGTATATGTTGTCAACACATTAACGTGTCTAATATATTAATTTAATCATTATAATCGTAATCTTATGCCTTCCACTTAAATTGAATGTAGTAAATACATAATCCAACGTATATATATGTAAGTGGATTCCCATCAGCATTAAGTAATGAACTGACACTCTTATAAGTATGTTTCATAAGCAAATTATCTTAAGAATGTATTATATTATGTATATTTAAGCATTGCCATAAGTAATGTAAGCAAGATCCTGTATGCGTATCAATAATATGTGTTGCCAGTTGTACAAAATTTCATGCTTGTTTAATCATTGTACCATGGTATTCTGTGCTTTGCTTACTGTACTCAGAAACTTCATTCTTAGTACTCATTCATCTCAGTATGTTGCCATTTTTATCTCTTATGTTTTTATTGCATATTACCAAGAAGTGTCATGTAATCAAAATGCGCACTAAGTCATGTCAGCCATAGCACTTCCCTATATTCTTTATTATTTTACTGCTATGTAATTATGCCTTATTGCAAATCGTGTAACCTACTAAGCAAGCATATCTAATCTAGAATTTATCATCATGCGCTTACTTAGTATTAATAGTTATAAGATAGTTGCATCATTTCGATTTCCGCACAAAATTCCTGAAACACAGCTGTATGTTTTGCATTAAATTAAGAAATTTTGAAACTTATAGTACTATTTGCGAACTTTGTTATGCACTTATGAGCTTTAGTATTAAATACTATTCTTTAGTTACTCACTATTAATCGTTATTAATGTATCTCAGTATCATTCATTTACTTACCTATTCAAATTTGCAATGTTCTGCATTCGAGTATTTAATTATTTATCTTATAATCCTATATATTATGTAAGCGCATATTATGAAACGCATATATTATGTAATATGTAAATAACGTGTGGCTGCTAGGACCTATTTAATGTTTATAATATTCTGTGTGCACAGCTACTAATGAGTACAATATTTGTGCGGATAGTAAGTTATATAATTTGTTCATTGAGCAAAACAGTAATAATGTTTGATGCTATGTATATTTTTTTTAATGCTATGTGTAATTTTTAGTGCTATGTGTAATTTTTAGTGCTATGTATAATCTTCATGCTATGTATGTAATCTTCATGCTATGTATATCATCATGCTATGTATGTATGTACACAGTATGTCTTTAGTATGTGACACGGACAGATACGCAGCATAGATTAAGCCAAGTTCACCAATAACGATTTGTAGTGAAGTCCGGACACCTTACTAACTCAATGTACTAAATTTCATGCAGTGCTCTTAACCCATTACTGCCGATGGAACATTACACAATCAGAGCAATTGTAATTACACGCGCGTATGAATAATACTCAGCTCAGTACAGCACTTACATCTTTTCATGTAGCAGACAACGTCTGCAAAGGTGCCATTGTAACAACCATTACTGTGAATCGGTAACTTCTGACTTAGACTCAATAAATGCCGCTGGTTTGCGGGGCTCGCCCTGGCAGTGGCGGAAGTAGATAGTAGATAATTTCTACAGGTCAGGCACTATTCCGATTGGTTATACCTGAGGCCGGAAGCCTGGTCTGTAGTGCTCTGCCCATGTACACATCGATCTATTTTCACTTAAAAAAACATCCTAGAATTGCACAAACTAGGCACCGCGCACAACCTCGGCATTGCGCACTACATTGGCTTTGCCCATGTACACATCGATCTTTTTTACTTAAAAAAACATCCTAGAATTGCACAAACTAGGCACCGCACAACCTCGGCATTGCGCACTACATTGGCTTGCCCATGTGCGATCTCTTTTCACTTAAAAATCAGAAATTGAATAAACTCTGCATTGCTCATATACTAAGAAATCTGCTTTCACTTAAAAGAAATCGGAGAATTGCAGAAATTCGCGCATAAGCAACTCCATTGATTCGCGTTGTAAAAAAAAAAAAAAAAAAAAAAATTCTAGAAAAAAATTGAGCTTACTACAGGCGAATCAAGATCCTAGCCTAATTGATTTCTCAGCCGTACATTTCTTGCAAATACTACCATTCGATGACTTTTTCTGACTAACTAACCAGCATGGTATCTTACATTTTTCACAGAAAACGTTATCCTTCAATAATCGACAATCCATCAAAAATCCTCTAAAAAGTTCATACTCTATTGTTAATTCATACATAAAATATCTGAATATCGCCATCAACTAATTAAACGTCTAGCATGATTATTTTTTTTTCAATACTGGCATAAAATTACATAGAATATTTACCAGATACTTCAATTTTATGACCTAAGACCATTCTCGGTAATTAAGTCAATTAGGAAGCAATCACACCGCTCACCGAAGACGAAAATATAGTAAAGGCAAAGTCAAAAATTAAATTCAGCAATTCTAATGCACCAGCGAAGTAAAGCACTGCGGTTTTACATAATTTCCGAGTAAGCTATTCGTATGAATTGAAACAATTCTTGCATTTAAACTTGCATTCCAAGATTTGTAAACAAGATTTAACTTGAAATTAATGTAGATAATTACTGAGAGAATTAGATTTTGGTAGTATAGTTTACGTGAGATGAGATTTCTTGGGGTCACGTGATACGAACCGGTGAATCAGGATGTTGAACAATGAAAGCATAGTAAATTCTTAAATTAATGTCTTTTTTACAAATTTATTGTTTTCATTTATTGGCATTTTACAAAATTTTAAGCTCTATTAAAACATTTATGCCTTCAAAATAAAAAATTCTTAGAACTAACATTTGTTAACATTTTTTATTTGTATACTGTATGTTGTCGCCAATAACGTCTGCTTGGCGAGATTTGCGCCGGCGAAACGGAAAAGTACCAATATCTGTTCCCAAAATTTTACGCTTGTTTGAAAACTCCCACCTTAAATTTTCCTTTATAATCTCCTGATACTTAATTACAACATCACTAACAGCAGTTTTAGAGCAAGCAATAACTAAACGCAAAAATATCACCTCAAGTAGCCAAAAAAATATATACAAAATAGTATTCACGGTATCTGAGCTTTAAACAATCGCCAATAACAGTGTTACGAATTGTGTATTTAGATATTAATTTTAGTAGAATTCTAATTTAAAATGTTGTATTTCCTCCTGCAACGCAGCGTGAGACAAATTTTAAGAGAAATCTATACCGGAAAAGTAAGAATACAGGACACGTGCATTAAACTTTGAGTAAACGGATATGTCGGTAATTTGTATTGAAATTGAATAAATGTAACTGACTACTAAATTAGCTGTAACCGTAATTCCATCCTCTTGTTTACATTGCGTTTGGCGAATAGTATGGGTTACCAGATCATATCATTTATCGCCTCTCTTGGCGATATTTTTTTTTTTTTTTTTTTTTTGTTTAAAATTCCGGATGGGCTATACTAAAGCTGTGCCTTTGCCGTTAACCGCGACTCTGAAAACACATTCTGGTAGAAAATTGTAAGCTGAAATTAGGAAAGACAGGAAAGTGTCTTTAACTAAAAATAACTGTTAACAACTTAGGATAAACTTTACACACGTATTTACGAATAATGAAGACATGTTTTACTTTCAATTCTGATCAAAGCATTTCTATAGTGGGCGCACATATATATTATCACAGCAGTATTCATATCTGTATCAGGGTCTAACAAAATATTTATGTTAGCATAAAATACTGCCAATATTAGATCTCATTAACCTGCAGAAATTCATTATCATTTCGCTAGTTTTATTCATTCACTAAATTTTGCGTTTCATGTTTGACAACCTGTTACTTTTAGCAGCCTCGCGTCAGACTGCTATAGCATATTTTAGCAATCTAAGTTGACAACAAGCTTCTGTCAGTTTTTAAGAGAATTGAGGCTCAAATGATTTGCCTTTGGCAACGCAATCCGAATGACTTTAGCATTCAAGCTACATGATCTAATTAGACACTTTACACTTTTATGATTAACCTTTTTCATAAAAGTAATTAGACCTATATTATACAAAAGTTAATATATAACTTGCTATGTGTTCCAATTCCTTGGAAACATTTAAGCTAAATATTTATATCAGTCAATTAATTAATAAATTATTTTAATAAAATGAGTACCATGTAATGTCAAAATGTCTGTTTGAAAATAAGAAAATAAATTTGGCATTTTATCTTAATGAAAAATAACTTTTCACAAACTAAAAAACTGTTAGACCAACAAAGATATAAACCAAATTGATTTTATAAAGTAGATGAAAGGACTGAATTAGAAAGAAAGGTTTACTTGAATTTGTTTCTGATGAAGTGTCATATTCCAAAATATATTTGTTGGATGAGAAAGCTTTTCAAGTGCACTGCTGCATTTTTCTTGATTAATTGCCTTTTCAGTTACTAACAAATTGATAGCTTCATTTTCTCCAGGTTTTCGTCGCGATGCTGCATTTTGCTCCATTGCTCTTAAATTGCTGCAAGTTTTATGATTGGACATTTAAAGAATCGGAAAAAAAAATTATCTTGAAGTGTACTCAACATACAACAGAACAGAAAACCTCGCATTAGGAAATCGTATCACAGAAAATTTAAATTGTTTTCATAACTATTTGACAAAGTTAAGTATTATGATTTTAACATTAAATTTCCAACGTCGATAATCCATTTTTAAAGGAACACGCAGCTTTAAAAAGTCTGAATTTAAATGCGTTTACAATGATCGCGAGAAAAAGAAATAAAAACTTTGTTTTTAAAGGCATGATCTTCGAAGCATTATTGCATTTTAAAACAAAAGTTTGAACACCAAATGAAATTCAATTACATCAAGTCTTTGAGTAAATATGCATTTCATTTAAAGCACGTAACTGTCACGCGAAATGAAGTTTCAGTGTACTGTAGCCTTCCTTATTATACCGGCTTCCGAAATTTAGTCTCTAATTAACTGAGATATTTCGACAAAAATCTCACCATGTGTTCTTACATTAGCATCGTGTTACATTTTTATATGGCTTTTATATTTTTTATATAATTCGCATTGGTTTCTTAAAACTATTCCTTACCTTTTTGTGAATATGCGGCTAACAGTCATTAATTTACCAAATAAAGAAATGGATGCCATATCATAATTTCAAGAAACAGGTCTTTTTACCTGACAAACAAGAATGCAATAACGGCCCCAACATAAAATTAACCATTTGGAGGTACGGGGTTGCAAATGTAAAAAGAAGAAGAGGCACCGCGTTGAAAATTAGTTCATTGGTTCTAGAATATTGTTCATCACTGCCATTAGATTTATGCAAGAGAAATGAGAGCAGAAATGATTCGACAGAGAAGTTTAAGTCCATAAAACGGTATGACAAATACCTTAATATGTGAAAAAATGGTAAAATTTGTTGTAACAATTACATGCGGGTAGTGTATTCCCTATATTTCATGCAAAGATTTAATGAACGAATAGACGGTTCCAATAAAATAAATGAAATCGATGAAAGTTTGCTCGTCAACATAAGAACAACAACGCTAATCATCTATGGAAGTGCACCCTCACGGAGCATGCTAACGCCATGCTCGGGAATTTGCTTACATTGCGGCATTCATATTAATGGTGCATAATTTGCATAACAGACAATATTGACATAAGACGTACTTTACACGGGACTTTGCAGTTGCATGGATTAATACCAGGACTTAAAAGTCAAGACTATTTATCCCTGAATAAATACAATAAGTTATTTACAGATCTATACATATATTTCTTTTGTGTTTCGGTTTTCGAGCTTTGTTTAATGGGGGAAGTGATTATGGTAACGTGGTTAGTTGTTTATTTGGTTTTTTGTTACACAGTTCGCAGTTTATAAGTTCATTCATAGTACAGTTTATAAGTTATCAGTTTATAAATATCAAAAATATTATTGATTTCCTACACCGACAAGGACTGTACCTGTGTCATCCATAGCATACAACCCAAAATAATTCTTCAGAAAATGCAACAATAAGAATATCCACTCTCCACCGCTATAGGTTAATATGAGCGGTGTAGAGTGGATATTCTTACTGTTGCATTTTCTGAAGAATTATTTTGGGTTTTATGCTATGGATGACACAGGTACAGTCCTTGTCGGTGCAGGAAATCAATAATATTTTTGATATTTTGAAAGACTTTACGGTGCTTAATGATGAATCTTCTAAATTCTATTCCAGTATCGGTGGAATAACGAATGTGATGGGTTGACGTTAGAGTGTGATGGGTTTCTTTGCATTATGCATCTATCCGACGTAGCCATATCGCGATCATAATGCTAAGGAATCCTCAGTGGCTCTTGTTTTCCTTCAGGCTAAGTCACCCTTGAAGCTGTTACGCTCGTGCCTATTGATATTCACCGGTTAGTTTAATTTAAGTGCCAACTACGTTAGATACGTTGTGTTCAACTTCAAGTCTCCTTTAGTTGATTATAGTTTAGTTTCTTATCTCTTATTCTTAATTAAAGTTCGAGTAGAAGCTTCCTATAAGCCAGAGAAGGGTCGACTCTTATTGTTATTTGATTGAAATACACTTCTCGAATCTACGTCTTAGTTGTTCTGAACTCAGCGATAAATCACTACATAGTTCACTAGGTTCCTCGACGTTCATCTTAGGCAAAAGAGAGTGAGGAACCCTACAATACTATACAGTTTTAGGTCATTGATGTTAATTTTTAAAGTTAAATGAGCGTTTCTATTATAAAAAAAATCGTCGAAACATTTCCTTTTTCTTTTTTGTTCGGCTGCATTGTCTTATCTTTATCTATTTTCTGATAAATTATACAAAAATATTTGGTAATTGTAAAATTATTATAATAAGTTAAAGAAATATCAAAATTGCTAACATTTTTGGAGAAACCGTACTGTAGGTCCCGCGAGCATATTTCACAAGTGCACATCTGTGTAGCCACCGAGGGAGTGGCTTCTAGGATGGACCAATGAGGATCCGGTAATATTTCTGTCATGTCACATGATCTTTCGCGTGCTTTAAGATTTAAGCAAGATGGTTGAAAATATTCTGCAACGCAATTTTCTGTACAAAATAAACTTTTCTTTGCGAAGTTAAATCAAATATAGGCAATTATGAAGATTTCACTACCTGTTTGAAATAAATACAAAAACATGTTGGATGCTTCGTAAAAATATCGATGTGAAATTATTATAATAAGTGGTAAATAAGATGAAGAAAAGAAATATGTGATAAACATCTGAGTCCAAATGCAATCTTTACATAAAACTATGCGTATGAGAAAAATATTTACATCAATTATATATGTAAGTAGAAGTCAGCACTTTTATTGCAGTCTATATGAAAAAGATGTGTTATATAATAACCAATGCAGAATTTTATTCAATGCGAACTTTTACTAATTTACATTCGTATACATTTAGTGTTTTAAATTTCACATTTAATAACTGCTCACTCTTAAATACACTACCTACACAAGAAATACTCATCAAACATTTATCTTTTTCACAACGAATATATTCAATTATTTACATATAATTTTTAATGTTAGCAATAGATCAATGTATTCTGATTCTTACACTTTAAAAGTCAAAAGAATGCAAGCACTGAAATAAGAAGATTCATTGTAACCCTTTCAGTCATTCTCAGCTCAATTAAAAAAATATACACTTGAATTCTCTTAATCCACATAATATGCCGTGAACATCAATTCAAATATTAATGCGTGATAAAAATCACGAAAGTGAAATATCAGCGATTAATTAAAATCAGAAAACGAAAGCACTACAAGATTTCTACTATTACGCCATATATTTATAACTGCGAAACAAATGCAAATTAAAACGCAAACACCATATGCTCACATGCACGAAGATTTAGCGTCACAAGAGCAATAGCAGCTCATTGGTTCATATTCGAAACCCCTCCCTCAGTGGCTACGCTGATGTGCACTTGTGAAATATGCGTCCCGCGACCCCCATTAGGTTCGGGACCCACAGTTTAAGAAACTCTGCAATAGACTATTGCAGTATACCAAGTTTGTTCTTTGCTAATCTGGTGGCGCCATCTTTTGACAATATCGTCTTATTTTCATAAAGCAGAGATTACGAATGTAAGTTTCATTTGAAATTATTACCTTGGTTATAAATGTTGATGTTTGACTTCATAAATTTTTAGAACTTTTTTTCACTGCCTTCTGATCTTATTCTATTGAAGAAACTAAATCAGTGTAAAGTGAGCCAAATATTTTCCTGCTATGTGCTTCTCTTACCTCGATTTCTCAGAACACAGCCGAAACTCCAAACACCTTAATAAAACAACCCATTCGTATACTTGAAAATTCATAACAGGACTGCATGTTTTCAGGCCAACAATATTTATTGTAATCCAATGAAGTATTTTAATTTAATTTCATTTTAATCATTTACCATAGTTTGTTACTTTTGCAATTTTAGCAAATAATATGCAGTTAAATAAAATGTTGTCTTCTGTTTTCCTATAACAATTTTTCCCTATGTTGTCTTCTGTTTTCCTATAACAATTTTTCCCTGATAAAATTAAGCAAAAAAATTACTTTTGTTTATCTTAACATATACTCATATCCATCTCATCAAAATTAAATCAAAGAAATAATTTTTTTTTTATTTAGATTTACCCTGAAACTAAAGAAAATCTTATTGCTTTTACTATGCTAAATAAACAAATAAATTATTTACATTTTTGGTCAGGGAAAACTCACTGCTTGATTCTATATCTCTTTAATTAAACTAAAAATCGTTTTTTCTTTATTATGTTACGAAGCGATTAACGATACTAATGCGTAGTTCGAAAGGCTAGTAATAACTTGACGATTCTTGTTCGAACGCTAATTTTGTTTCGACGAATATGCATCAGTGGTAAATTTGATCTTGATTTGGATACAAAAAATTCATGACGATATCTTTCATTTATATTTAATGAAAGCACCACAATATATCACAGCAATACACACACATCGCAATGGCGAACCACAGTTACATAATGTAAAAAAAAAACAGAATTCCTTTGGCGCAACAGCGCCCTCTATCCTATGAAAAGTTCCAACACACCCCACCTGTGCTCTTTTAAGAGCACATTAAATTTACATATCAATAATATATTTAGATATAATCAAAATCAATATGCACAAATTAATACTGAAAACTACATTGCAAATTAAATACAATACATGAAACAAAACATATATATATAACTTTAAACTTCAAAAGGATAGATTAATTGGACGGGTCTTCGATAAAGTCCTTGAGAAGTACGAATCAAACATGAACGCACATACCCATCCCTACCTTTATAAACTTCTTCTATAATTCCAATAGGCCATAAAAATTTTGATTTCGTCGACCCCTCCAGCAATACAACCTCACCCTTTTTAAGATTCCTTTCAGGAGATGGATTTAGAAAAGTATGCGCAGACCGTAATTCGAGGAGATAATTCTCCTTCCACTTTTTCCAAATTTGTTTCAAAAGATTAGTTTGATACAGTTTTCTCCTAGTCAAAGTCTGCCTGTTCAATGGTTCATTCCTGAAAAAGGTCGGCGAAATGTACAGGATAAGAAATATTTTCTTGCCCTGGAAACAAGAAATGGGCAGGTGTAAGAGCTTCTGGCTCTTTTATT